GTATTTATAGGATGGAAATCTCCCTTCCATAGGTGAGAGCTCTCAGCTGGCACAGGGTCAGCACAGCAGTCCCAGTTCCCTTCATGGGGCAGAGAGCTGAGCAAGGAGGTTTTGCAGCTGCAGCCACACTGATTTTTGTGAAGAATTGGGACTTTCTGGCTGCACCTCCTCGTGCCTACAGAAGTGCAGCAAATCTCAAAACAGCTGAACAGAACCTTTCTCCTTTTGCAGTTATCCCCCTCGTTAATGCCCTCAGCATTGGTTGAGCATTGGTCTGCAAAAATCAAACTCGTGTCCATCCTGGGCTTTTTCTCCCACTGGTTGCCCATGACTCATGGAATGGAATTTTTTTCAAAGCACCAATCATGGCATTTAGTTCTCTTCCCAGAGTAATTATAGAAACTGTTTCCTTGGGCAGTTCTGCACCGTAACTGACCAAGTTTCAGCCATTTGTCCAAACCTTTCCATAAAGGGGAGTGATTTTGCTGCACAGAGCTTGGAGGGAAGTGGACCTGAAAGTTGTGGGAGCTCAGGAAGGGTTGGGCAGAGTTAGCACAGTGAGGGGCAGCTTAGGGGAGTCGGTTGGTCACCAAATTCCCCCACCCAGAAGCTTTGGTGTCCCCAGGCCATCTCCAGTTCGATGCCAAGCAGTCAGCTTGCAGGACGAGCTGACAGCAGTGTGTCCACATGTCCACACATCCTTGTTTTTCAATCGCAGAACGAGGTGACGCTGCTGAGGAATGAGGTGGCTCAGCTGAAGCAGCTGCTGCTGGCTCACAAGGACTGCCCCGTCACCGCACTGCAGAAGAAGACCCAGGGCTATCTTGGTGAGTGCTACCTTCTGCTGCTGCTGCCAGGAGGTTCAACCACAGCAGGGACCACAAAAGGAGGGAACCTTTGCCTCAGGCTTTGCCCCATCACTTCCTGACTGCTGTCTCCATGTGCAGCCTCACCGTGGCCTTTTTGTCCCTGCACTGGGGGCCATTACACCCACACAGCAGCTCTGAGCAGCACTCAGAGTCTTTAAAGTCAAAAACCATCATTGCTCTGAAAGCAGGGGTCAGGGATGGGCAGGTTCTGTCAGTGACATCCTGGGGTTCCCAGATCTCCTTCCCTGCGACTGGCATCAGAGTGGCTCAGGAAGCTGAAGGCCTCGTTTTTATCTTCCCATTTCCTTCCTTTCCTTCCTCTTATTTTTTATACCACTATTTCATTCTCGTCAGCTGGGCAGTCTGCCTGGCTGCTTCTTACCTCATTGCGTTGTGTTTGTGCAGAGACCTTTGGAGGACTCTGGACCTCCCCACCTCCCCCATTCCCTTCCCAACTTTACAGTTCCCATTGCAGTGTTACGTTGAGACTCTCATCAGCTTCATTTCCAGAGCTCACTCTCTTTTGCCCGGTTGTACCAGTGGGGGGATTGGGGTGGAGCTGTGGCTCCTGTTGGGCTCAACCCTTCAGTTCTGGGCTGAGAGGTGAGCATTCAGGAATCACAGAACCATGAAATGACAGAATGGAGGAGTTGGGAGGGTCCTTAAAGGTCATAGAGCTGTGCAATGGTTGAGTTGGAAGGGTCCTTAAAGATCACAGAACCATAGGATGGTTGGGTTGGAAGGGTCCTTAAAGGTCATAGGACCATGAGATGGTTGGGTTGGAAGGGTCCTTAAAGATCATAGAAATGTGGGATGGTTGGATTGGAAGGGTCCTTAAAGATCACAGAACCATGGAATAGTTGGGTTGGAAAGGTCCCAAAAGTCCACAGAACCATGAAATGGTTATGTTGGAAAGGTCCTGAAAGATCACAGAACTGTGGGACGGTTGGGTTGGAAAGGTCCTTAAAGAACATAGAACCATAGGATGGTTGGGTTGGAAAGGTCCTAAAAGATCACAGAACCATGAAATGGTTATGTTGGAAAGGTCCTGAAAGATTACAGAACCATAGGATGGTTGGGTTGGAAGGGTCCTTAAAGGTCCTGGAGCCATGGGATGGTTGTGTTGGAAAGGTCCTGAAAGATCACAGAACCATGGGACGGTTGGGTTAGAAAGGTCCTAAAAGATCACAGAACCATGGGACGATTGGTTTGAAAGGATTCTTAAAGATCCCAAACCCACAAAATGGTTCCCCAACCACTTCTCCATTTTTTTTCCCTTCCTCCCCAACAGAAAGCCCCAAGGAGAGCTCGGAGCCCACCGGCTCCCCTGCTCCCGTCATCCAGCACAGCTCCGTCACCGCCTCCCCCAACGGGCTCAGCGTCCGCTCGGCAGCCGAAGCCGTGGCCACGTCGGTGCTGACTCAGATGGCGAACCAAAGGACAGAGCTGGCCCTGCAGCCACACGTCATCATGGCCCCACAGTCGCAGTCTGCCGGCAGATGATGCGCGTGGCCCCAAGGACTGAGCGCGGCCGCCTCCCCCCTCTTTCCCCCTCTTCCCCCCCACCCCCCACCGCGGGACGGCGCGGATTTGGGGTTTGATTTTCTTTGTTTTGAGTGAAGGGCGGCTGTGGGGCTTCTGAGGCTGCACCGCGGCCCCCCCC